CACTGAGAGCATATGCACCAAAGACAATTCCTTGTGTGTCCAATCGCACTTGGCCAATAAAGAATTCTATTCTTTATATTCCAAGCTTGTTAGAACTTGAAACTCTTTAGAACTCTTTAAAGCAGCCATGTCTTTGGCCCAGACCATGTGCCTATGCTACACAATCCCCGGCCAAGATGTCTGCTGCTTTAGAGATTAAGCAATAGCCTTCATACTTTTGTATATACCTGCTTAGTAGGGCTTTCGCTCCCCCCCCAAGCGGTGTTCTTTTTTATACAAAGTCAGCTTATTGCCCCCACAATCCGGGTCCTCATTTTACCTACCTTGAAAGGATGGAAGGCTGAGTCAACTTTGAGCCTGGTGAGAATTGAACTCGCAGTAATTGCAGGCAGCTGGCAGCTAAGTACTACTTTAACAGCACTTAGTCCACTGCGCCACCAAGGCTCTTTATGGGTAGCTTCTACATTTGTCCCCCCTCTCTAGTCCCCTGCTCCTTAAATCAAATTTTTGGAAATTTTTGGAATCAAATCTGAAGCATTTCCCCCTTGCCATTAAAAAAAGAGGTGGGGCACCTTACTGCTTTCTTGGTTGATGATCCCATGATTGAAACTGCTAAGGCTTTTATTCTCTGTTGATGAATGATGGCGTGTAGTTAGAGAGGCTCTGAGTCATGAGCAACAGCTACTGCCACAAATACAAAAGGAACAAAACGTGAATTTGCTTTTTATGGTTGCATGAGAATGTCTGGATTGCATGGGTAAAGGAGCATGTAGTAAAACTTAATGGGAAATGATAGAAGAATAGATAGTTTTGCTTGCTTCCATTGCTTGCCTATGTTCTTTATGAAAAGTTTCAGTTTTTCTGTCATGTGGTGACCAAAATGTTTGTGCAATTTGTAACTCATTTTAAGTGTGTCTTTTTTTAAAAAAAGAAAAAGCAATAAGAATGTGAATATAAATGTGCATTTCTTCAAGAGTATGGGAAGGATAGCAAATTGGCTGGCTATAATGAAATCACTTTCAGGAGAAGTTCATTTCAAACCTTATGAGTAACTGCCAGATCATAACATTGACTCATGCAGTGCTATTGTGATCATTATTAAAATTATATAGAAAACGTTTACTGTACAAACTGAAGGCCTTTGCAGGCAGATTGTGACAAGCTTCTTGAAGGAGAGAGATCAAACCCACAACAGAGAGAGTCTTGAGATTAAAAAAAAAGAAGGGAACTTTGATGAATCAAACAAAAAACTCATTGTTGACTAATTGATGACAAGTATTATTAGAGTTACGACAATAACCTGGGACCCTGTTATATAATTGACATTTTTTTTTTTAAAAAAAGTAAAGGATGGATCTGATGTCTGGTACAATTTGGACTCTCAAATACTTTTTTTCTCCATCATGGAAATACCCGGTCGGAGAGATTGGTGTGAGTGCAAATCTTTTCCCAATACTGTATATCATTAATCTTATCTCAAAATCTTTTTCTCTTTTTTTTTTATAAAAAGTTTTTTATTTTTTCCTTTAAAACAAACATTACATCATTAACCATTCAGTGTGTCATCTGGGTACATATTTTGTGTCATCATTAGATAGATAGATAGATAGATAGATAGATAGATAGATAGATAGATAGATAGATAGATAGATATAGATATATAATTTCTTTACATTTTGATTTAATATTTCTCCTATTAGAACATTTTTCTTTTGTACCACTTTTTATCCATATTCATTTTCTATCCAATGATAAAATTGCCCCCATATGTTATAATACTCCGATTCTTCCTTCCCTTTAATTGCTAGTGTTAATCTATTCAGTGCTGCACATTCTAATATTTTCAATATTAGAATCCAATTTTGTGCAAATACAATTCTCGCTTTTTTCTCCTTCTTCTTGTGAAACTGCACAGACATTACACCCAAACTGGAGCCTCAGTATTGCATTAAACAGAATTTCATGGCAAATGGCTTAGCAAGCTTTTCATTCTCTCGCCTTCTTCTTTGAATGACCTACTGGAAGCATTTTTGAGACACAACTAGGAGGCCCCTTTGCCATGCTCCTTAACTCACTTTCTCTCTGTGTGTGTGTGTGTCTTTTGCATGGAGGAGTGGAGGGGAGAAACATCTGTGTCAATGGAACCTTGACCTACATAAATTTCATCCCCAAAGATTCAGGATAATACATAGGATTAAATACGGACAATAATGGAGGAAAAGCTCCCCTTGTTGGTAATTCCTTTGAAGTGCTTCATTGAAATCTTTGCTTTTTTGGATTATGGTTGGTAGAAAATAAGTGTTAATCTGAGTTTACAGTTCTGGATATTATTTTAAGTTTCTGGAATCACAGCTTCATACAGAGTTTTTTTCCCTTCCTTCTTGTCCCTCCTCCTCTCCCTAAAGGTATTGTGTGCTTGAATGGATGTGACAAACTCTATTCTATTGGACATAATGGAATCTGATCACCATTGCAGTTTCTTTCATTGATAGGAGGCTGTTATTTTCTTGCAGCCCATATAGCTGAGGGGTCCTTGGTGCTCTCTGAGCTTGTTCTTGCAGACGTGTCATTACCCAGACTAGGTAACATCATCAGTACTCTCTGTGCATAGTGTTCATTTCCCAAAACAATAGCCCATTAGTTTTGTCAATCACTAAAGGTGGAGGGACCCAGTTACAGTGGCAAGGAGTACAGTGTTGGAAGATCTGAAAGTCCGGGTTAAGGACAGATCATCATAGAGAACATTGTTCAACTAGGAGTTGAAAACAAGTTAATGGCACATAATCAGTCAAGGGAACATATCTTTCCAGTAAGAGTTTCGTCAATTTACACCAACACTTCTTCAACTCAAGGGGAAGTGACTGAATGATTGAAATAAATGAGTTTAGAATCTGTCTCCCACTTCATGAAGGCCTTAATTTAAATGCTTAGATTTGAAACAAAACATTTGTCCGGAATGGTATAGGGTGTCTGGCTTGAGCAGAAGAGGTTGACTAAAAAACCTCCACAATTCCTTCCAACTTTGTTATTCTGTTATTCTTTCATAGGTAGTCTAGGCAGTGATTACATTTAATAGGAAATATTACTTGCTTTCAATTTATTGACTCATTCTTTCCCTCTACAGAGCCTAGTTGGCAAATTGTTCCTGTTTAAAGTAGATCTATAGTACTATCCCATCCTTTGGCCAATATATCTCTAAGAAAGCTATTTGGATTAAATTTATTGATTTTCAATAAGTTACCTTGCATTGATCTGGCATTTATTTATTTATTTTCATATGGGGAGGATATATACTTTTTCAGGGTGAACTGCTGTAGCAGTATGTAAGTTTTTGTGTAGCACAGCATTCTTGATCTAACAGAATATAGTTACTGGAGAATTCTCAGAACTGATCTACTTTTTGGAAAGGGTACATAGCTTATATACACATCAACATACAGTTGTGAGCATGGATATTATTATGTTTGAAGATGTCAACATTTGCTTCTATAAAAAAACAATAAATATTTTCTCCCCTGTTTGGTATTCTGATTTTTTTTATGTACAATTTTTCATGGCAAGTTATTGTTCAGCTCCATCCAATTTTTTAATGGATAAAATGTCTTCTTCCCCAATGTTTTGCATGTATTTAAACAAGGTTTTGCTATCTTATATTTGCCCATAGATAATTGATTTTTTTCACTAAGGATCAATTGGACTCAAACTGCAGCAGGAACTTTAAAAGTTAAAGTGCCCCAAGCTATGTTATGAGTTCTGCTTGGATTTAATTTTAATGTTTTAATTAGTTGAGGTTCATAATTCTAATATTATTTCACATGTCTTTTAATTTTTGATTGGGAACTCTCCCCCAAAGCTGGTTCAAAGATGGGCAGCTACAAATATGTTTTAAATCAATGAATACATGCAATTATTTTAAACCATTTCAAATGGCATTTTGTAGTGTTTTCAAGAAAGAAAGAAAAGAGACAATTACATGCATGGATCACACACACACACACACACACACGTATGTAGCCTGGAATGACATGAGGTCTTTTGGTAACATAACATCCAGGTGTTAGGCCTCAACCTCACTTCAACTGTTGTTTATTGCTATTGCTTGAATTAATCCCTGCTGTCAGAGCTGTCCGAGAGATGCTCTCTGAAAGAAAGATCTGCAGAACATCACAAATGTCACATCCTGCTTTGATACGCTCGATTTTCTCTTCAGATTACTTTGCCTGGGATAGTAAAAAAAAAAATGTTTTCAAAAGAATAGGTGAATGATCAAGTTGCTAAATTATTTTTCTTTTATTAGACTCCCCCTTTCTCTTTCCCCTCTTCTTCTTCCATCACTGAGAATCTGATAAGAATTTTAAAGCTATCCAGTTACAAACTGGATCTCCCAAGAGCTATTCATTCATTAGTAATTATCCTAGTGTTACAGGAAGTAAACAGCTCATTGGAAGTGCATTTTGCATCCTGTTACATCACACTGTGCTGATCTTGCCAAAGGTACACTGTATTTCAAGGGGATACAGTGAAGATCATCAGATTTCAGCAGAGCCTGGGAGGTCCAAACAAGCCTGGAGAATAATTTGTTTAAAGGAGATCTGTTATTAAAAAAAAGAAAAAGAAAGAAGAAATCTTCCACAAGTCCACGTAAAGTGATAGAATTTGTTCAAGATCAATAAAATGTTTGAGGTGATGATCATATTTCTGAATTTATATTTAAATTCCTGTCCTTTTATCTGTAAGGGAAACAATACCTTAGAGCTCATGAGTTAATCAGCATGTCCATTTTTTACAGATTAAAATAAAGCAATCCTAAAGAAAGTATGCATTTTGAAAAACAGACGCATTCATCTTTTTTTCAACATCCAGACAAGATGGGCAGCACATTAATCCAATTAATAAACAAATAAATAAATCAATAAAATAATTCTTTGTTAATCAGATCAGAGCGACATATGAATGGAATTCTGGAGTTATGCAAATTATAACACCTCAGCCTACAGGCGGATGGTATTATCAATTTTAATATTCTTTACCATGATACAAACTTTGTCCAACAACTTTTAAGACTCCCCCTCTCCTCTTAATGGTATTTAATGGTGTTTATTTTCTAAAGCAGACTTGGAATAGATCAACCTTCAAGAATACCATGGATTAGCAGTTGTACCCGATGAACAACATTGACCATTTGATATTTTTGGAATAACATAGGACATCCTTCATTCTTGGCCAACAAATATGGCACTATATTTAGAGAACTGCTGTTATTTTGTTGGATTGGAACTGGGAAGATTCAAGTCCTCCTACAGCCTGAAAGTTTATTAGACTTTGTGTCCTTCATGCTCCCCCTTTCAGCCCAACCTCTCACAAAAATTGGAGTATGGAATACTATATATGCCAGCTTGAGATCCTAGAAATATGTGTTGAATGAATAGATGATGATGATGATGATGAGGAGGAGGAGGAGGAGGAGGAGGATGATAACCATTCAGTCATATCCGATCCTTGGCAATTCTGTGGGCCAGGTCTCTCCACATCTTCCGATCTTGCACTACTTCTTTATATTGAATGAATAACGAGAATGAATAATTTTCTAAAAGAGAGTTCAGATTTGAGTTAGGAAATAAAAATACCCAGGATAATTTGTGGTTGAGAGTTATAGATATGCATCATGAAGAGGATAAACTTCAGAAATAATGTTGCCATCTGTGTGATTATCTTTTAAATTACATGTTTCTTATTTTGAAAATACTTAATTGATGACAAAGTATTTGACAGTGCTCGTTTGACTGCATTTTAAATACATACTATTAATTTGGAATATTTATCCTCTATTTCAATAAAAAAAGGGCTCCAACAATAGAGTATATAAAAAGGCACCATCTGGAAACCTGAGGCTTTTATATCTTTCTGTTGGACCTCTTAGAAGCATCTGGATATTTGTTAATGGAAATAACAAATGAATATACTTTTAGACAGAGCCATTTTAATTCCACCCATAACCTCTAGATCAGGAGTCTCCAACCTTGGGAACTTTAAGCCTGGCGGACTTCAACTCCCAGAATTCCCCAGCCAGTTTTGAAGTTCGCCAGGCTTAAAGTTCCCAAGGTTGGAGACCCCTGATCTAGATTATGTTCATTTTCTGAGTGTAGTCCCTAAACAATTCCACTTGACTTTGTCTTTTAAGTGAGTTTTAGACTTCGTGGTATGTCTTCACCACTGGATTAAAAATTCACATTCTCTATTTTATTAACAAAACAAATGTGATGGTGATAATCCCACAACACAGCTAATCCTCTTTGAAACAAAACAATATTAGTTCCATAATAAATTGTCATATTTATTTAAAAATAAAAATCTCAAAGCAAAGACACTGGTACGTTTTCAACAGCTTAGACGGGACCTCGAATCTAAATCACACTAATAAGCGATGTAGGCCTTAGACTGCAATCAAAGAAGAGATTCTTTCCAGAATAATAATAGCAAAAAAATAAAGTGTTCAGGTTATATTTAAAAGAATTTAATAAAATGAATGACAAAAGTTACAAATGAATGTTTGGAGAACACCTTGGTTAAAATCTAAATTGAGTCACTTTTATGGTTAATTAGTTATATTCCTGGGATGCAATTTGCTCTGTTTGGGGGAAAAATGATTTATGAAATCATAACTAAAGTTTCATTAATTGATAATGATTCATTTTTTTAATCAGATGTTTTGCTGCAGCAGAACATAAAGCATGACAACTCTATTCACTACCAGCTGCTTTTTAGATGCATGTTGGGCAAGAACAACAAATATTAAAGGTACATAGTTGCATCCATTTGCTGATGTGCTAGTGATTGATCTACTTATCTGATCAGCTAGGAAACCTGAGTACCAAAGGCAGATAAAACTAGAAAAAGGAGGTGAAGGAGGAGGAAAAAGAGCATGTGATTTCTCTTTCAAAGAAACATATGGATGATTCATGCATTGTTCTGATAATGGGGTTTTCACAGAGATTCACAAATATACAGGTGTCTCAGAAAAAAATCCCCCACCAATACTTCAGTTCAGTGAGGGACAATATATTCCTTAGAATCTGACTGAGTGAAGAACCATGTGAATAAATGCGATTATACATGTCCTCTTACAAGAAACTTGGCTATAATCCTTAACTTGAGTAGAAGCTGCTTTTATTTAATTGTTTGTTTTTTAAGTCTAGCTACTCGTCTTAGATACTGCCCAGTCTCATGATTGGGAAATATGTAAATCAATTGCATATAAAAAACTATCTCCCCGAATATATACCATCAAGAACAACAAAATAATAATACTTGGAGGACAGATTGTCCTCCCGCTATCTAAATATTAAAACAATCAACTGTCTATTTATACAAGAATTTGGACACTCCTCTTTTCTCATCCAGAAATTCATAGTGTAATTGTTGACTCTGGTTCCTTTGGTATGTGCTGAAGTTCCAGCTATGTAGTTATTGGTGCTTCTTCAGCCTGGCACACTCCAGATATGTTTGGTTATATGTATGTCTTAGCTAGCATTTTAAGCTGTTGAAGTCCAACACAGGCGAAGGGCACCAAGTTGGGGGGGAAGGGTTACAAGAAATTCTTCTCTGCATGCCCTATTCCATGAATGGGATGCAGACTAAAAAGAAGTACGCCTTTAAAACTTCACCCCAAATAAAGAAATGCCAAAACTATTCTGAGCTGAACTTCTTGTAAATAGATTAATGATTTCCAGAAACAGAAAATGCCAGTGAGATAATCTTGTTTGCCTTGAGATCAACTTTCCACAAAGAAGTTACAATGATGTCAGATGGAAAGATAGAACAATGTCTTTCCAATACTTAACATTTAAGGAAGGTACAATTACTTGCTAGAGGGCATTCATGGGATGCAAGTCAACTTCAGAAAAGCTGGGGTGTAGTGGATAGATTTGTCTTCACCAAAAACATGTTAAAAAGAAAGAAGGCCAAATTACCATATACCTGTTGATTTGGTCTATCACATTCTTGTTTGGACATCTCTATAAAACTGCTACTTCTTCTCCACGCCCCTGTGACAGTAAATTATTGAGTGATGATTTATTAACCCCAGAGTTATCTTGAATTCATAGGCAGATCATTTGTGAATCCCAAGATGAACAGTCAGAGACTTCAGGACCATGTTCTGGTCCAAGAACTTTGAATTCAGCCCTTGTGAATCTTGCAGTTTTGTTCCTAACTTTGAATGCAACTCAAGAAAAAGAAGGTTACAAATGTGACTGGGGAATTCAGTGAACCAACACTGAATTCAGCATTGGTTAATTTGAGCCTGTAAACTGAAACAATTTTTGTCTGGGCTCTACCCTTACTTTTTGACATGCAACCCCACACGACATTCTCTGGCTTGAAAAAGATGTCAGTCCTGATCTAAAGTCGCCTTGCTCACTTTCCCATTCTTCATAAAAGCTACTTCACAATTATTTTTCTTCTAAATCTGTGAAGTAAACCAAGTTAGAATTTGTGTAAACTGATAATAACAACAATAAAATATTCATTTAGCTACTACTAATTAATCAAATAGGTAATCTACCAATTTAGACTGTAATCACCCATCATGCAGCCTTAATCCTACACTGGGATTTCTGGGTGTAAAATATATTGAATTTATGCCCAAAAAGTTTGTTACCTCTTCTGCAAACTTTTCCTTTGTTTTCTTGACTGCACATAAGTGATGCTGGCAGTGCTTCTGCAGAGCACATATGTAAACAAGAGCATAAACAAGGCATGGAAGAGGGTTTCCAAATTACCAAGGGTAGAGTAGCATCGTGTTCCATTTTGTTATCATTCTCTAACCCTGCACATATGGTCATCTTCCATTCATCTAACAAATTCCAGGACCCCTAAGGGCTATTCTAATGCAATCAGTAGGAATACTATATCCAAAGCTAGACAAATCAAAGGACTGTCCAAAACTCAGGATAAATTACAGCTGTTATAAAGAAATCACCTTTTCACCTTGGCCCTCATATTCTTTTCAGTTTACTGTCATAACTCAATGAGACCAGCAACATTTGTCATTAATAAACTTGCTTGGATAAACAAGACTGATGGATTAACAAGTTACATGGAAAGAAATCTGAGAAAGTGAAAACCTGAAGACAGAAAGGATTAATCTGAAAGCTCTTTTCTGTGAAAGAAGATTTGATTATCTATATCTATCTATCTATCTATCTATCTATCTATCTATCTATCTATCTATCTATCTATTTCTATTGCTCTATCAATCTAATTCTATTGATCTATCCGTCTATCTATCCGTCAATACATTTATCAAGTGTCCCCTATATATTTGGTACCTAGAATAGAAAGTCTACAGAGTTGGGGGAAATTAACAGTTTTCGACACTGTTTTCTTTCACTGATTTCTAATTGCACGCATCAGTGTTCTTGATAAGAATTGATATACTTTATTTCATTCTGGTTGCAGATTATGTACTACACACCATGAAATATATTGTCACATAAATTAGCTTGGTTTCTTAAAAAGGATCCTTCTTATTAGAACTGCATCATTCCACCAAAAAGCTCGGGGTGACAGAACAATAACCCCAAAGAAAGGCCAGAATATAGAAATAGCTCAAAGTTTCCCCAGCAAGGTTTCCAGATGGCATTAATTTGAACCCAATTGTCTCCCTTGTGCAAGACGAAAACTCCACACATTTTAGACCAGTGTTTTTCAACCTTGGAAACTTTAAGAGATATAGACTTCAACTCCCAGAATTCCCCAACCCGTGTGGGAAAGGAGGTCCACAGATCTTCAAGGATGAAAAACACTGCTCCAGATATTGAACTAATCCTACACACGAGGCTGTCCTAGCAGATGTTTGTGGAAGGGTTTCCAGAGCCTCGTTACACTTTTTATCTTTTCGGTTTGTGAACTATTGCACATGCAAGTGGAATACTGAACAACCTGTCCTGTCAACTTTTGCTTTCCACCTTTGTTCCACTCACAGACACTGAGACCTTGCGAAGGGGCTGAGGTAGGATATTATAAATGCATCAATCAAGAAAAAGAAGGAAGAAGCAGTGGTGGGTTTCAAAAAATTTTACTACCGGTTTTGTGGTTGTGGTTTGGTGGGTGTGGCATGGCTTAGTGGGCATTGCAGGGGAAGGATACTGTAAAATCTCCATTCCCACCCCACTCCAGGGGAAGGTTACTGCAAAATCCCCATTTCCTCCTGATCAGCTGGGACTCAGGAGGCAGAGAATAGATGGGGGCGGGGCCAGTTAGAATTTTTACTACCGGTTCTCTGAACTATTCAAAATTTCCGCTACCGGTTCTCCAGAACTGGTCAGAACCTACTGAAACCCACCTCTGGGAAGAAACAACTTGATGGGTAAACATTCTATGCAGAGTTACTGTACCCCAACAATACAGGGCCATGGCTCAAGTTCTTTTAAGTTAGCTTCAATGCAAGGCCATTTTTACTTGTATACCTTTAAATATTCAAACATGAACCATGCTCTTCGTGATACATACACTTTGAGAAACTCACTGCTCTTATAGCCTTGTCCATGGTATGTACAGAGATGTGCAGATTTTTGAAATGCAAGG